ACCAGCTTCGTAGGACCGGAAACCCCGAGTTTTCCCTGAAGTTAGCCCGCTAAGCGAAAATCCTGCTTCGTAGTACAGGCCTCAGGTCTATGAAAACAAGCCCAAAAGAACCAACACATACATGATGTTGTGTCATTTTAAACCAAAACTAAGACCTCAGGATGACTTTAAGACGTGAACATGGTCATTTTTGTTTTGTAACATTAAATAATAATAAAAAAATAGTTTATTAAAAAAAATGTAAAATGTCACGTGATCGGATCGGGACATCTCTAAATATTATACTGTGTGTTTAAAGAAGGTGGAAGGCTTTAGTAAGAATGAAAACAGCCTGCACACACTTTTGAATCAGAATGCAGGAAATGATTACGCATAATTTAGATCAGAGATCCTTGCGAGATCTAAACAGCATGAAAGTACTATAGCCAATATCAAAATGTGCACTAATGCGAATAATTTTCAAAACACGTATTTTGTCTTCCTCTTTCTTGTGGTCTTTCATCAGCACCAAGTAGGCGTTCTTGGCCCCTACAAAAAAAATTTAATCTCAAGAATGGACAAATATGAAAGCTCCAGTACTGGGAAAATAGCTTTTTGAAAATACCAACTTCACATGATTGAATTTCTTCAAAGACATGGCTCGGTACGAGAAAGCAGCGTTAAGTAGAAAGCTTTATCATCTGTACCTCCATATTGGTTGGTATATATAATGATGTGCATGAAATAGATGTCATCTTAAAACGCACTCCATCTTTGAGATTATGCTGGTAGGTGCTCTCAAAGCCTGAAAGGATGGACTGCCCTTAGTAGAAAGTATTAACATGGGCATTTTTGCTGTATTGAAAGAAAACGTACTTGCATAGAGAATGAATGAACTGCATTTAAGAGGGCTATGAATGGATGAACTATACATTCACCTTGAAGGCATCTTCAGCTTTAATGGACCTGGTGTTCCCTTGAGAACATTACAACACCCCCTTATTTCCATACATGAAGAGTCCATGGCCTCATTTGTGTTTTGATAACCGTGGACTGGTAATTGCTTGTTATGCCCTGAGCCCCCAGATATCTGTCATCAGTGCAAGGTCTCACATATCCAACTTCGAACACCCGCAGACATCTTGAATTAATCAGTCAATTGGCTAAAAGTAGGTCAGATTCTGACAATAATTAATAATAGTTATCATTAGTTTCTATAGTTTTTCTAACATCAGACATTTTTCAATACTCTTAATACCGTTGTAGCTTTTCATTTTTTATAAAATGTTAAGCATTTTTATTATATTTTTTACCCATTTTCTGATATGAGCAGCAAGGTTTGAGCGAGGGTATACACATTTTTTAAATTATGATTATAATAATATTTATGTTATATAATTATTTAAAGTTGCTGGATGAGACAAAAACTCACAAAAGTCTTGTGATATAAATGTACCTTTGCTTTGATAAAGAAACGTATCGCCCACCCTTAGTGTGTAGTAGTTTAGGGTTAGGGTTAGTTTTGAGATTGTCTTCTTGTTGATGCTCAGATTATCTGTGAGATTGTTCTATGAGCCCTTTGGCAGTAATTGGCTCCCGTACAAAGCAAGTGTGGAAATGAAGTTAATTTTGAATGCACCCATTTAACACTGCAGCATGTATGCGGATGTTAAGAGGCTCTTTTCTTCTCCAGGGGCAATGTTTCCCTTGGTTACACAGTGTATGTACATCTGCCAACCAGTACAATCTGGAGTAGGATCTTCAGATGGGTTAATGATATTTAATAAGCAAACACTGAATTTATACCAGGATAATTGCAACACTGTATAACTGGTTTGTGTAGAAAATCAAACCATAGAGGAATCTCTATTCAGGTGGCACAACTCCGCAAAATGCACAATAAGCTAAACGTTTATTTTCAAGAAACTGTGCTGGTTGTGATTTCTTGCTCCCTGGTGTATTTCATATTTTATAAGTTCAGGGTTTTGCTCTTTATGCAGCTGACCCAGATAACCAGGACTGGCCAGTGCTCATGGGAGAGCAAAAACATCTTGGCGGTGTCCTTTGCCCCCCTGGTCCAGCAGAGCAGAGCTGATGGGGAGAAACCTGACACTGTCGAGCTGCGTAAGTTCTCCGGCCTCAACAAAACTAAACCAAACTAAAACTCTGTTTTATTCTAACTGGTCCTGAAGTGTAGAGCAGGCAATATTTAAAAAAATGATGTGACGAGACGACTCCTACAGCAATATTTGCTCTGACTTACGAAGCCCGCCCTGCAGCTGCTCCAAAGAGCCACTTGCTTCCTTTCCTTGAAATAATGAGACGCGGTCCTCTCTTTGATGGACTCACTTGTTTATGCTGACCTAGTTGAAGGACTGGTGGAGTTGTATACATTCATCTTATTTGTGTGGCGCATTGCCCTGAAGGAGTGTCATCTCTCTTTGTCCTCAGCCTCATTGACTGTGCGCAGCCTTCAGGATCTGTCTCGGGTCTACATTCGCCGCACTCTCAGAGACCTGGACAGCGAGGACAGTGCGGGGAAGGAGGCGGTGCAGAGAGTTCCCCAGAAGCGCAAACGCAGGCGCTGCCAGCGGCGACGCATCAACACCTACGTTTTTGTAGGCAACCAGCTGATCCCCCAAATGGTGGAGAGTGAGGAGGAGGAACACGTTGAGGAAGAACAAAAAGAAGTGGAAGACGAGGAGGAGGAAAGAGACATCGGAGAAATTGAAATCCTCAAGCAAGCGAACATGTTGAGAGACCAAATAATGGCTTTACCGCTGCCGGAGTCACTGAAAGCATATTTGCTGTTCTACAGAGAGAAATGACTGATTACTCCATGCCCACTCTTTATGAATGCAGCACCTTCTGAATGCTTTTCTCATCCTTTTTCTGTACAAATGTAGCATTATTTCCATTAAATCTTGATGGCAAAACTGTAACAGAAAGAGACGTCATAGATAATATTGGATAATAATGTTATGATTGTCACGAATCGTTTGTTTCTTTTGATTTGTATATAAAAACTGTGTAAAAAAATATACTAAATGGTCAGTTTCCAAAACCCATTTTCAGATTCAGATTTTATTACAATTTCAGGATTTCTGCAGAAATGTGCAGATTAAAAAGTTCTTATTATATTTGTTAAAATAAGATCATGCTAAGATGAAAACTTTTATTGCAGCTTTTTTCCAGGAGCTTTAACTTTAACTATCGCTGTCTGGGGATTTAATGAGCACCAGAAAAGGAGCAAAAGACTCTGAAAGGCAAATTAGTCCGCCATATTCAGTTAAAGAGTGAGACATAATTGCAGAATCATTAATGGGGCACTTATGTTATTACTCTTACTGAGTTTTGGTTTTGAATTAGTGGGATTTGTACCTTCCTATTACATGAAATCATCGAGAGACTAGATTGGTTCTTCATTTTTTCTACAGGGCAATTTTTGATGTATCTTTTTCTACAGGGTGTTTACATTAACGTGTGTTGTAGGCCCTCTCCTCTACATGGTTCCCCTTTACATCGTTAATGCAAATAGTATGTAACTTTATCATAACGGATGTTTGTCATAATGATAAAACTGATGACTGGTGGTGGTTCACATGTTCAGCTTTGTTTAAATGAGACTGTTTATAGGAAGATTTTTTTGTCAATAATGCATGAATATACTGTAAATGTGTTGGGTGTTCCTGACTGTGCTTCACATCGTACGCTTGGTCACTGGAGGTTATGTCCCAAGTGATTAAGTCAAGACATTTTTTTGACGAAAGGCGGAAGTTGGGAAAGGATTTAAAGAATAATAATCATTTAGATTGCCTTGAGACAAATCTCAAATCTGTACTCAAATTAGTATTGTATTTCTTTGTATAGACAGCAATACAAATCAAAGTCACTGAGGATTTTTGAAAGCCTTTTGTATCCTGGACTGTAGAAATGTCCAACAAAGCACCTTAGTCTGCATTCCTCGAGTGAACAAATAAATAATTTGTATTGTCGACTGATCTCGTAATGTAGATCCTGTTTAATCAAAGTACAATTTGCTTGCAGAACTTCCATGATAGTGGCGGCTTTTAAGTGCCAACGTCCCCCATCACATTAGGACTTCTGTGAGTTTTCTAGCAAAGTGCATTTACCCAAGCGATGGCATATTTCTACAAATACATTCCACAGTGAAAAAATTAAAAAGAGCAGCACATCACTGATCGATGTCACACTTTTTCTAAGAGCTTTATGGTCACAGACTCCAGAGATTTCATTCATCTTACTTTGAATGCTTCATTTAGTATTCCAAAAGCTGAGTTGAATGTTGTTGATATTAATTCTATTTAATATACATGTGATATTAATGTGTTTTTATCATATGAATCTGCATTCAGTTTAATTTGCATTTGGTTTGTTGTAGCGCCCTCTTGCTGTACTGTATCTTGACACTGGGAACTCTGTAGATCAAAACTCCACTGATGTCTGTTCAATAGATAAAATATAAGTGGTATAGGTCTTCATTTTGTTCTGCTGTAATGACAAATATTTTGTTTGAAAACGGGAGTGATTATTCTATTAGTAGTGTTTGTGTGTGAAGAGGTAACAATTATTTTCTGTAAGTTGTTTATTTTTTTTATATTCATAGGAAAGCTTTGTAAGTGAGCCATAATGGAATAATCTTTCAGTTTATAATTACCAATAACAACAAAGTCCCATTTGATTTGCGTAGTATCCATTAAAATTCTCATGACCAATTACAGGCATGCAACAATTTATATACCATCATCCAAAACGTAATTGCTAATTAGAGAGCACTTTAAAGATTGAAAGCAGCGGACCTACAACCTCGACTCTCAGGTCGCGCCTTGCACCAAAGTAAATGGGACTGCTATGATTACGTTTAATGTGAACGAGATTTGACTACGAGACTAGCACCGGTAAAGACCAAGTCATAATCGAGTCTGTGCTTTTATATTTGGTTGATTTGATGAGAGCCAAAACAGTTCTGTTACTTTTTACCAGCCCTAAGTTGATAGGATAGATCATAGTGTGTGCAGTTCATTTTAATAATGTGTTGTTTCTCCATAAATGTTTGGCAAAAAAAATAAAGTTCACAATCACATTACGCCTCTTCTAATCATTGCACTGCTCTTTTTGTGTCTTGTTGGAATAAGATGTTTACTTCCCCAAACGTGTTGACGTGGTCAAGGAATGAGTCCTTCTTGCAAGCTGACAGGAAACACAAACAGTAGTGCAAGTGCAAATCTGACATCCTTGGCAAGCTTGTGATCACCTTCTTTGTCACTGCTGATTTGAACTTTTAACATAGAGTTTCCATCTTGCATCACATTATGGCTTTTCTGACAGAGTTTCTGCAAAAATATTAAACAAGTTAACAGGCCTAATATGCAATTAACACCCAAGGCATTACATTTATAGTACACTCTCCTGCGTTTGACAGAGGAAAACAAAGATATAACTGTTTGTTTTCTTTTGGCCTTTTGGGTATGGGATGAGAGAGACAGCACAAAATGTGAGGACGTTGCTGTGAGGGCTCAGCCTTGGTAAAAGGGGTTCCTACTCAGGAGATCTACCTAGACACAACAACAAGATTTAAATGAAATAAAATCAGCCGATCCCACTATTACCCATAAGGAAATGCCAAATATATTCTGCAAGAGGATGGCTTCCTACTAAGAAGATTCAATTTTATTGATATAATATAATTAATGAAACTTAATATTTAAATGAAAGAAGAAAAATAGTATGATGATGACAATGATTATTTATAAAACGGGCCTATAAAACTAAAAACAAAACCAGAACCAATTCAGGCAACAAAACCAAGTGATATAAGGCTTTGCACATCACACCACATACTTCCTCTCTTCAAACTAACAATAGGCAATTTTATGTTATAGATGGCAGTCCACAATGACACTAAGAAGTATGTGCACACAACTGATTATCATAACAACCAGGACAAAACTATAGAGGACAATAACACAAACAAAAATTGACAAAGAGAAATAGTAGGACCCCACAGCGGGTGCAAAACAAGCAATATAAAGCCACATCAATTAAGTTACATGACACTTATAGAGTAAACAGCTGCATAAAACATCAGCAGAACAGACAGGGCAGACATTTATCAACATTTTAACAATTCATACTCCACAGCCAAAGCAGGGCACAACTACACATACCAAGCAAAAGAGAGCTGCACAGTTTTTACACAAGGCACACATAACCATACAGTACACAACGCTCCATTGTCAACCGATGGTAAGCATAGACTGTATACACGAGGTAAGTAAATGCAAACACTAAAGTTAATAGTATTCTGAAGACATTTTGAGAAACTTGGACCTTAAGTGTTCGTATTCTCTTCCGCTTTATACTTCTACTCCACTGCATCTCCGGGGTAAATATTGTTGCATTTACTCCACCTCCTTTATCCGAGAGCTTTAGGTTTATTCAATTGTTTTCTTTTGTAACTTTACCTAAGTAACATTTTCAATGCAGGACTTTTACTTCTAACAGAGTATTCCTACTGTGTGGTTAATAGGACTATGCCTTCTATTTTTACTGAAGTAACATTGTGAATACGTCTTCTACCACTGTGCCAAGTGTGTTGGGTCATCCTCTGGAGCAAGTTACATAGGTGGCGCTGTTGACAGGCCGCTAGGGATTATTTAAAATAGAATAAAAGGTGGCTAACAGCTCTATGAAAACTAAACCAGAGTGGACCTGGCAGTTGAGAACAGAAGAGAACCCTTCCTCTTGATTTAGCTCCCCCATACTTGATGCCCTAACAAAAATTCAAAGGTATGTGGGGGATGGAAGGAAGGTGGGGTTTAAAAGAAGGGAGGAAAATGTCATTTCTCGGATAAGAATAGGTCATACAGGTCTCAATCATACATTAAGTATAATAGGAAAGCATCCAACCGGAAAGTGTATACACTGTAGCCAGCCAGAAACTGTTGAGCATGTTTTACTGCTTTGCAGGAAATATAGTACTCAGAGAAATGTGTTTTTCCAGACACTGAAGAAAGCAAAATTCCATGAGTTGTCGCTATCAGGACTGTTAGGGAAAACATCAGGCAATATATATTGTGAGATTATTAAGTTTCTAAGAGAAATTGATCAATTTAAAATAATCTAGAGTTTTGGTTCTTTGTTTTGTTTCTTTTGTTTATTGTTTTCTGCTTAGTCTCTTGTCCACATTCCAGTCCAGTTGGTGGCGGTAATGCACCTACAAGTTGGTTTGCCAACCGCCAATAAACACGAAAGAAGAAGAAGAAGAAGAAGAAGAAGAAGAAGATGATGATGATGATGATGATGATGATGATGATGCCATAGCACCGGCTATGGTTGCATGCATCAAAATGAGTCTGTGTTTATTTGTACTCACCTGTCGCCTGCCTCATGCACCGGAAACTCCTGCACAACTTCTCTGGTCGTCCTTTCTCGATGCTGAATATAACCTGTCCATTCAGCCTCTTAGAACGAATATATATCGGCGTACTTTAGTACAAGTACATGCATGAGGGTAATTGATCGTCATTACATGTCCATAATTACCATAGAGTACGTACGTAAATTACGTCCTTCTAAATTCACTTGCACGGTACGACGTGGTCCGGGCTCACATTCCCCCGAGACCCCCCGCACCACGGCCGGAAACCCAGAAAGAAAAAAACAACCCAAGATCAGAATACAAAACCCAACACCATAATACGAATAAATAGATATGATATAAATCCAAGATATAAAAAAGAAATGAATAAGAAGAAATGTTTATAACCACTTGCACCCGGTAACGTCGAACCGTCAAATTCTTTTTTCAACTGTAGGTGGGAAAGACAAATTATGTGGGGGACGCTCGTGCTATTTATTGGATTTTAGTTTGTGTGGGTATATAACGCAGTGGCTTTGTCCACGTGCAAAAATGACCGATTCACGATTTACGATTATCGTTATTTGGTTAGGAGCTCCTCACTAAAGGACTTTAAGATTGAGTTATGTGAAATTGTAGTCAATCCACACGACCACACACCTGGAAGACGNCTTGTCCACACTCCAGTCCAGTTGGTGGCGGTAATGCACCTACAAGTTGGTTTGCCAACCGCCAATAAACACGAAAGAAGAAGATGAAGAAGAAGTTTCGCTCTCTCGAAAGTTGGGCCATTTTATCATCATGCGCTAATGAGCAACTCTCATAGGAATGAATGAGGCCCCGCCTCCCACGCTGTATCCAGTTCTTATTATACATCCATGAGTTCACTCCGTCACGGAGGGTTAGGGTCGAGGGAATGGTTTGGGATTGGGCCTAAATGGTCTAATGCAGAGTCTCAATTCAGGGGTTGCATCCTTCGAAGGGTGCATTCGTAGACCGCTTACGTCACTTCCGCCGAAAGAAGGCTGTCCCAAAAAAAAGACGAGAATCCTCCGAATGCGGCCCACGAATGCAGCCTACTTTTCCCCAATTTGAAGGATACATCTGATGTACACTCTGCAGCCTACCATATCCCAGGGTGCAATGCGCACAGGGAAGAGTGAGTTTTTTTCAAATGAAATGGCTTCCGGTCTCCCCAGCAGAGTGGATTTAAAAGCAGCAGTGAGCGGAGGAATCACTAATAAATGTGAGTGGGTTTGAACTTACTTTAAATTAACTAACGTCACACACGTCAAACCCAAGGGGCATTAAAACGTACATTTTCGAGAAATAATAGGGATAAATATGTGACGCTAACTAGCTAGCTGGACGTACTGCACTGTTTACACTTATTTTTAATTCAATTCAGAAGTTCACTAAAGTCATACAGAGATCTTGGCTCTGTTATAGATAAGTTATACTTTATATTACATACATAGACCAAAATGAAAACATTTAGACCGGTATAGCCTACGGTGGGATTTATAAAATGCTACCCTGACGTGTAGCTGCTGTTTGCTTTTATTTCTTTCTCTGACATGTTGCAATGTTTTACTGTTTATTAAACTTTGGGACAACATTACAACCTTTGTATTCAGCTCATGCTGCTTTGAGGTAGGGCTAAAAGAAAAGCATATTTTAAATATTTCCACCAGATTTGATCATCTTTATTTAGGTTAAATTGTATTTAAATTATCCTAGTCCCATAATAATAAAACAATCACAAATAGACAGCATCCTTTAGCTTGGTGTTAGTTTGTGCTGTCAAAGGGATGCAGGTGTGACTTTCATTTCATCTCTTTAGTTTTTTAAAAACCAGAACAGTACATCATTTTTAAATGAGCCTTTACGGATTGTTTGTCTGAAATGCTGAGTTACATTTTGCAATAATACTTTTGCAACCCTGTGTTTAATATGATTAATTCACTTTTTCTCTTGTTTTTCTCTGTAATTAGGACAATTCTGGAGGAATGGATCTGCTGGAGAAGGACCCCTAATCTGAAAAGTGCACAGCAGATCATCAGGACAGAGCTGCCATCCACCTCCTGGACCCCCCGAGGTGCTGGAGAAGGACCCCTAACCCCAGCGGATCATCAGGACAGAGCAGCCATCCACCTGGACACCCCGTGGTGCTGAAGAAAGCAAAACAGCGATCAGGAACATCCTCCACCCAGACCTCTGCTTACTGCCGTCCTACAAGACTTGTGTCTCTAGTTTCAGAATTGATTTTGTACGTGTCCTTTCTTTAATAAGATATTTAACGATTATAGCTTGAGTCTGTCTGATTCCCCAAACAGCTGCTTCTATATACTTGCTGCATTATATATACAAATAAACCAACTTCATAAAAACACACTTTTGCTGAACATTTGTGTTACTGCTGGTGATGTTTAAATAACATGATTGGCGATTTCCTCTGTCTCAATGATGAAAGTTATTAATAATAGAAGACATGAAGCTGCAGAGACTGAGGATGGATATATTCTTACCTCTACTTGTGAGTGAAGATCAAAATACAAATTACATTGTTATTGTTAAACAATTGTTTATTTCATTTACTGAGATTTTAACCCATATTATTTACAACATGTGTATACTGTACATAAGCAGTGTGAATAATAGGTATCTCAGTCATTAAACTTTGTATTAATACAAAAAATAGTCATAGAAAATGTTTAATTGTGTAGTTTCCAGCAGAATGGGGGAGGGGGCACGGTGGCTGCTGGACCTGGAGGTGCTGACCTGGGGTCAGTTGGACATCATCTGGCAGGTTAGGGGAAGAAAGAGAATATAAAACTGTTATAATCACAGCGTATTAAGATTAGAACACTATTATGTTAACAATCAATCTTTATAACAACATGATTTTGTTCATTTTAAAAAACATTATTTTATTACTACAGAAAAATTCAGACTTATTTTAAATAGAAGATAATATGATTAAATTACATCAACTATAAATAATTTACTTTACTTACTTTTACTTTAATTAACTTACTAATGTAACATTACTGGGGTTAAAGGAACAGCCTTCATCTTATTACTGGCCATGTCCCTCTTTAATTCATCGCCGACCGGTGATCTCCAAAAAAAATGTAAAAGTAAAGTTTCTGGATCCTTTTCAGCTGAAGCAGCGCAACCGAACAGCGCGTATCACGTGACGTGAAAGTACGAAGCCCTCCGTAAAGCTTAGACCGTCTCATTTCGTAGGCGTTGGTCCATCACTACCCGTCTACGTGGGCTGGGTCCTCCGGTGGACCACATAGCTGCGTACTCCGAAGGGTGCAACCCCTGAATTGAGACACGGCCTACCGAGCCGAGCCGTGTAGTGGAAATGCGCCAAAAGTGCACCAGATTGATGCTTTTAACTTTCAACATGTAAAAAGAAATCTTCCAGGGTGAGCCCCTAGAAGGGGGGGAGTTAGTCCCCCACACTTTAAATCATTTCCACATGGATAGGAAACGTCACGAAATACATTTGCATTTTTGCACACATTCTTGTTCGTAGCGTTCTGTTGGGTGGTCATGCCACAACCGTGCACGTGCCGCCGCTTGCGGACAGGCAAGGTAGGCAACTGCTTGGGGCCCCAGACCAGGTCGTTTTTTTTAAATGCAAAAATTCAGAACAAACAAATTGATAAAAAAATAACAAAATTCAAACAGACATCATACATTGCCATAAGCCTTCATCAAATTCAGTTGAATCTTACAATAGTGGGGCCCCATTATTTTAGATGAACTGAAATTTGAGTGAGTGGGGCAAGCGCAACGGTTTGCAATGACAGAACAGTAGGAGACCCTCCTTAATGGGCCCCACCTTACTCCAGGCTCACTCCGCGTCAGTGTCGCAAATCGCTGCATTGATTGTTTACAAAAAATCCTGAATGACAAGGAAAGGCACTGGAAAAATGAAAGAGATATTATCTTGCTGGAAAGCGAAAAAAGGAAGAAAGAAAAAATTATGAAGATGAGAGAAAAAAACAAGACAGTGGTAAGAAAGTTGAGTAGCATAAAGATGAAATGCTAAATAACTAAATGTTTGCTAGTCTAACTTTAACTGTGGGATAGAGAAACTTGAATTATGTAACTTCCACTAGAATCTAATTATTTATTTTGTTTACTTTTTGACTTTAACATGACACGGGAGTTGACCTAGAACAGTGGTCACCAACCTTTTTTAAGCCCAAGATCACCGACCTCGGCCTAGGTTGAAAGGCGATGGGATCTACCCTATTGCCAAATTGAGTGAAAAAGACGCCAGACAGCTGCTTCCAATTGAGCCTTTTTATATAGGCTAATTGCATCTGAATTACTGTTACAATGAAGGCCTCCATAATCAAGCCTCACAGCATTATAGGCAGGAGAGTAAAGTGACTATGTGCGAGTGGGGCGACTTCACCTCCTTAGGGTCCAATACACCTACATACATAGGTACCTCGACCTCTTAGGG